ATTGTGTGGATCATGACAAGCTATGGACAACATTGTGAAGTATGAGTATTCCAGAACAATTAATTGTGCTCATGAAAAATCTGTACCTGGACCAAGTGGCAGTTGTTTGAACAGAACATGGGAACACTGAATGTTTTAAAATTTATAAAGGTGTGCGGCAGGGTTGTATTCTTTCACCATACTTATTCAACCTGTATGCTGAGCAAATAATCCAAGAAGCAAGATTGAAGGAAGATTCATTAACAACCTGCAGTATGCAGATGATACAACTTTGCTTGCTGAAAGTGAGGAGGACTTAAAATATTTACTGATGAAGATCACAGAGCACAGCCTTTGGTATGGATTATATCTCAATGTAAAGAAAACAAAAATATCCACCACTGGACCAATAAACAACATTCTTATCAATGGAGAAACGACTGAAGTTGTCAAGGACTTCATTCTTCTTGGATCAACCATCAACACTCATGGAAGCAACAGTCAAGAAATCAAATGACATATTGCATTAGGCAAATCTGCTGCACAAGACCTTTTTAAAGTGTTGAAGATCAAAGATGTCAGCTTGAGAACTAAAGTGCACCTGACCCAAGCCATGGTATTTTCAATAACCTCATATGCATGCAAAAGCTGGGCAGTAAATAAGGAAGACCATAGAAGAATTGACACATTTGAGTTATGGTATTGGAGGAGAATATTGAAAGTGCCATGGGCTGCCAAAAGAACCAACAGATCCGTGTTGGAAGAAGTGCAGTCAGATTGTTCCTTGGAGGCCATGATGGCCAAACTTTGTCTCTCATATATCGGACATATTGTCAGCAGAGACCAGTAACTGGAGCAGGATATCATGCTTGGTAGGGTGGAGGGTCAAAGGAAAAGAGGAAGACCCTCAAAGAGATGGGATTGGTCAGGTGGCAGCATCGATGGACTCAAGCATGGCAAAATAGTGAGGTTGGCCCAGGATAAGGCAATATTTCGTTCTGCTGTGTAGAGGGTCGCTATGAGTTGGTATCGACTTGCTGGCACCTATGAAGAACCACAACAGCAACAAGATCGTGCAAAAGAGTTAGTGCTGAACTACTAGTTGGAAGGTTAGTGGTTCTAACCCACTCAGAGGCAGGTGCCTTAGAAGACAGGCCTGGTGATCTGTCTCTGAAAAGACACAGCCTTGAAATCCCTATGGAGCAGTTCCACTTTGCACACATGGAGTCACCATGAATCGATAACAACTAAGAACAACAACTAAACTGATTTAGGACTTATGACCTCCAGAACTGTAAGATAGCAAATTTGTGTGTTTTAAGCCACTAAATTGATGGTAATTTGTTACAGATGAATGGTCTTAAATAACTCGTCCCAACCTTCACTCAAAAGACCTCATTCAATAGATCTTCATTGATCTCAGGATAAGGCCAGACTCCTCAACTGTACAAGGATTGATAAATTTTTAACACTCTTGATTTTTTTCCCAGTTCCATACCCAGGGGATATATTAATAAGCATTCCCAGAACTCTCCCATTGAACTCAGGCTGGGCATCAAAAACCTTCTGAATGACACTTCATGTATCAATATTCATTAGTTAGTATGACGTACACAAAAGGCACTTACTTGCCCTGCATCTATGTATCTATCCAATTTACCTGTGCCATGTCCCTTTGATTTCCACCATAATATTATATTTCTTTTCTCAGTTCTCAAGCTCTACATACAACAGTAGAGACTTGGCTGTATTTTATTTGATGGTCTCTTGCCTCACCAGCCAAATGTAGAAGTCCTAGGGGCAGTGCATCTATCTATCCTCTGACTGATACTGAATCAACTCAGGAGACAGGCAGTATGGGTTTTACATTCACCTTTTATTCTCTCTAGATGAAAGAGGCAACTTATTGAATCCTCCATTCCATCCATTCATAAGAGCCATGAAATCTTCATAATAGGTTGTGCTGAGAATGAACTGAAGTACACTTTGTGAAACACTTGCACCTGTGGATGGAAGTCTAGATTGGCCAGATAAACTCTGGTAGGATTCCTTGGACAAGTCGAGAGGTCACAGATATAGGAGTCACCATATCTCAAGCTGGTCTCATTTTGAATCCTCATATGTGCCTGTAAGGAACCTTAATGATGCTGTGGGATAAACATTGAGCTACTAACCACAAGATTGGCAGTTCAAAACCACCAGCCTGTCTCCAGGAGATAGATGAGATTTTCTACCCCAGTAAAAGTTTACAACCCCTGAAGTCCTGTATAGGATCACTATGAGTTAGAATCAACTCAATGGCATTTGGTTTGGGTTTATTTGCCTTTAAACATGTGATTTACCTTCTCTGTGTATCAGTTGTCCAAAAAAGGCAGAGTAGTAGCCTCAGGCCTTGCTGTGAGGGTAAGTGGGCTGCTCCCATCTCCCCATCCCCTGACTCCACCAAGCAGATCCTAGATTTGGGTGTCAGAGCTCAGTTTCTGACACCCTTGTAGCAAAGGCTGCTGCAGTTGAGTGATGCTGTGTAAGCAGTGGAAGGCAAAGAGCTTCCAGGACCCATATGGCCTTCTAGTTTTGGGTAATAAATGTCTGTGCTTTGTCCACAGCAGCTACTGTCACCGGGCAACATGGAGCTGAAGAGAGGAAAGACTTTCATCAAATCAAGCTTGCAGTTTTCTCATGAGAAACCGCAAGTACTGGAAGCTGCTTGCCAGTCTAGGGAGGATTCTGGACTCTGCTCAGTCTCATTGGAGGGGCAGCAGAAGTCCTGTGGTGATAGAGGCCCTCTAGCCAGCCCCATACTCAAAGAATATTGCAGATTCCCCAACAATGGGGCCCAATCAGGCGCCAAGGAGGGACACAAAGACCTCTATGGGGCCACTTTCAAACTGGTGCGGAAGAGCAAGACTCATGACTGCATGCTGGAGGCTGTCACAGCCACCTCTGCAGGAACACTGGTGAGCAGTGCCAGTTATCCAGGCCCCCCCAGTAGTTGGGCACCTGCAGTCAGTTGTGGCAGCCAGCACATGATAGACTATCGCCACTTTGTGCCCCAGATGCCTTTTGTACCTGCTGTGGCTAAGAGCATCCCTAGGAAGAGGATTTCCCTGAAGTGCCCCAAGAAAAGCTTCTGGAACCTATTCCACTTTCGTAGAAATAGGACTGAGAACTTGACCTCTCTGGCAGCCAAGGGTAAGGCCCTATCCTTTTCTGGGGGCCAATTGGAGGCTACAGGGAAGCTGGGCACAACCTTCTTCCATTTGGGAGAGGGGCCAGCACCAGATAGCCTGTGCCAGGACCTGCCAGATGGTGAGCTCCCATCAGACTCCTCTTTTGACCTCTGTAGGGCCCTGTGTGAGGACGTGACCTCTCTTAAGAGCTTTGACTCCCTCACAGGCTGTGGGGAGATCTTTGCTGATGAGAGCTCAGTATCATGTTTGGAGCCGAATGAAAGCTCAGAAAGCACAGTCCAAGAACCTCAGTCCATTGAGAGCAAGTTTCCCAGGGCCCCCTCCCAGAGCAACATGGAGCAACTGGCGTCTCCCGCTCAGAATGAGGTGTCTGACATCGCCAAGTGCTGGGACAGTGTAAATCACTCGGTAAAGCAGCAGCAGCAGCATACTTTGCTGGGCCCATGGCTAGGAACACCCCAAGAGCCTAAGGTAGAACAGCCCAGGCTTGACACAGCCAAGCTTGCCAAGTTGTCTCTTTGTTCCTGCAAGAACCCCCACAGTGGTTCCAAAGCCAATTCCATAGACACAGGTACCCCCAAGAGTGAGCAGCCAGAATCTGTGTCTACCAGTGATGAGGGCTATTATGACTCCTCCCCTGGCCTGGAAGATGACAAGGAAGGGAAGGAGGCCTTGAGCCCAGGAACACCTGCAGCTACCTTCCCTCAGGACACCTATAGTGGAGATGCCCTCTATGAGCTCTTCTGTGATCCTAATGAGGGCCCTATAGGCCTGAGTTTGAAAGATGATCTGTGTGTGTCTGAGAGTCTGGCAGAGCCTGTACCAGGCACACCCCTGTCTATATGCAGCTTCCATATGGAGGCCAAGGAGAACCTGGCCCCATTGCCTGACCCCAACCTGCTTGACCATGACTTCCTGCAGAGCTCCTGGAAAGGCAAGGAGTGCCTGCTGAAGTTCTGTGACACCGAGCTCTCCATCACCATGGGCATCATCAACTGGCTCCGCAGGGGCCCTGAACTCCAGACTCCACATGTCCCTGCTCCTGGGGATTCTTCCTCTCCACCTGATCCCTGGAGAGCCCCCAGGGGATTGGCAGAGAAGCTGGAAGTCAGTTCCATGGAGGCATGCCCATGCCCAGAGATCCTGGAAGACAAGGGGGACTTGCCCTCAAATGTAAGTAGGGCCACTATGTACTCAACACCCCTTAGACAGGGACTGTGGATGCAATCAGGAACCAAAGGTCAACCTATAAAAGAAAGCAAGGTACAAGGGGTATCCAAGTGGAGTACCCACAGTTCATCCAAGAGTCCCCCTCTGGAGCTCATTCAGGTCTCTAAGGAAGATTTATTCTCCTCTGTGAAGTCTGTAGCCAAGGTGGCAACAGACACATCCAAAATGAGCAAAATCTCAAATCCCCCTGCCTTTACAGGCTCCCAGAAGGAGCCCAGGCCACCCATGAACTTGGGGTGTCTGCAAGGCCCCTGGAAGCTGAATCTTGGCAGCACTTTAGAGCAAGATCCCTCTGTGATGGGTTGTGTGGCCCAAGTAGCAGCTCTACAGGTCTATCAGAACAGCCATTGCCGAGCAGAGATCCATCAGAGGCAAGATGTAGGCAGTGGACTTTGTGGACTGCCTATATCCAGGAGCTCTGCTACTCTGCAGCAGAGAGATCTGGGTTACCTTCCAGCTGCTACTTGTAGCCTACCCTGCTCAAGCAGTCTACTCCAGAGCCCACAGGACCAGAGGTACACAGACCACAATCTGGGCCTGAGATGGCCTAGTGGGGCACAGAGGAGTCTGCTGGACTCTGTCCCAAGTCGTGAGAGCTTCTCACCAGGAACCCTGGGCCTTGCTTTCCATAGCCAGAGTGAGGCAGCCACCTTCACAAGTCCCACAGACCAGACTACTGCAGCCACCACCTGGCCCATGAGCACATCTAGTATGGCCAACCAGAGGTGAGGATGCCCAGGACAACCCTGGCAGGGTCCCATTTATAGGACAATTATCTCGTACTCACAGGACCTGCCTCTTGCCTCTTTGTACTCACCTTCTGCCTGCAAGAACCTAAAACCCAAGTTGGTAGCATGGGAGGGGCAGAGCTCAGGCAAACACAGGGACATTTCAATATGTGAGGCCTCCTTTCCTGAACCCATCAGCTCAGTCACAACCTGAACTGAGAAGTCAAGACCAATCACGACTACCAAGGTATATATATGCCTCACTAATGAAGTTCTGGTGTGGCGCCGTGGGCTAATGTGTCAGACTGCAAAGTCATTTGAACTGCAAGGTCAGTGGTTCAAGCTCACCAGCTGCACCTTGGAAACCCTATACAGGATTGCTATGGGCCAGAATCTACTCAGCAGCACTTCATAACAACAATTAACAATTCCTCCATAAGGAAGCAGTCTGACTGTTGGTTATGACCATTTCTGTAGAGAAGTTCAGGCTTGAGATTTATGAGAAAATGGTTATATGTTGTAAATTTGAGGTAGAGTAAATGACTTTGTTTGTAGGTGGGGTTGAAAATAAATCATAGGTGAGATACTGGGAGCTAGGGAATAAAATGAGAGTGAGTACCCTGGAGGAGGAAGTCAGGAACCAACAGACCAATCAGGCCCAACTCCTACTCCACTGCCTGGACAGGACACCACACACACCTGACAGTTATTCCACCATGGCAGTAAAAGAATAACAGATCTTGTCTCCACATAAGCCCCAAACTGACAGATGTCACATTGTGCAGACACTCTGCCAGTACTGCTTGTCCCATAGACCCAAGCTGATGGGCTTCAGTGGATTGTCACTTATCACCTCATACAAACATGCCCTCTTCCTAAATGAAACCATGGAAGATCAGATGCTTTTGGGGGAAGAAGCAGTGGTCTTTACAATTGTATTATTCTGCCTGTGTGTAGTAAATGCCTTCTGCTCCACTTGTCAGCATCCCTGTCTTCCCTTCAGTAAAACACCCCTTCAGATGAGCTGTACCCCCAGGAAAAGCCACAGAACATGCTCCATGAGGTAAAGTGTGGGTATGGATATTCTCTGGGCAAGTGCCCAGAAAACTGGATGCCAGCTCTAGCTGGTTGTGAGGGCCTGTGGGGCAGGGGCAGAATAGCTCATCAAAGGTTCTTCATAATTAGATTCTGCTTCACCTGACATAGGGTGATGTATTGCAAATGATTTAGTGAGACAGGCAGCATCACATTTGTCAGTGGAAGAAAAGGGGATGTTGGGTCATGGTTACATTGCTGGCAAAGTCTCATTTGTGCAACTTCACATTTGAAGAAGAGCAAGATGAACTATCTCTGATGGTGAGAGAAGGCAGGGGTTAGAATTCCAGACAGAGGAATACAATCTGACAAGTTGAGGATTATCCTCATGCTAGAAAAGTCCCTGTGACACACAAAACCAACACCTACTGAGTCCTGCTGTATGCACACAAGGCTCCTGACTAGATGCAGCCAATCCATGGACAAGGGTGATCCAGGGTCTCTATAAAGCCATGCTTTGTCTCTTCTCTCAAGATGCACACAAATTGTCACTACCCCTGGGAGTGAACCTTTACTCTGCCCATTGTTCCTATAGACAGTATACAGATGGATGAGATAATCCAAATTCTGAAGAAACCTAAATGCAGGTGTTATCCTTGGTTTTCAAATATAAAAACTAAAGCACAGTGTGCTGATGGGACTTGCCTACAGATTGGTGGGGTTTGGATTCCAGCTGCCTGGCACCAATGACCCAGCTATTACCAAGACTCCCTTGCTGAGTTCCTGCAGTGAAGACCTTCCAAGTCACTACTCCTTCCTTCTCTCAGGGCACATATGTCAACATGCATACTGTGTTAAGACATAAGGTTCTGTTGCAGTTTCCAACCCTCTGTTGCTGAACTGAGATCTCCAGAGGGAGGTCATACCCTATTTGCCTTGCAGTCTTGTCACTTTGTGAGTGCTCAGTAAGTACTTGTAGAAAAAGAGAATGAAGTATTATTAAAAGGTTGTGTGTTGGAGTTCTGATTTTTTCTTGACTGAGTTTTATCTCTGGGAAGTAACAAAATTGTAGTTTCTGATACAACTCTACCTCAGACAGACCCCCTTGGCAGAAGTTAGTTGGTTTTGTCAGGGAATCTCCAACACAAACGAGGGAGGAGCCAAGTGGTGTTAAAGAGCACTTTGGAAGGGCAGAACTGAAGTGGTCCAGGCACATCAGGAGAATCTAGGACGAAGAGGGAGGGGGGAACATGCAAAGTGGTCTGCAGTGAATTAGCTGCACAGCAGCAGGAGCAGGGAAACCAGACAATCTTATGCTGGGTTCTCTAGAGAAATAATATCAGTGAAACTTTCTTTGTGTGTGTATCAAAGAAATTGCTCATATGGTTGTAGAATCTGGCAAAACCCCAGTTGGGTAAGGCATCAAGTCTTCAGGCTTGAAGTTTTTCCTGACTCATCTAGCTGCAGACACTCACAAACCTAAGACTGTCAGATCAGACAGAAGGCTGCTGTTTCACAAGCTGCAATGGCTGATGAATATTATAAGATCTGTAGGTAAAAATGGCCTACAGATCTTATAATATTATAATCACATCCTTCAGAGGCTACCAGATCCCAAGATGAGCAGGCAATACAACAGGCCACTGGCTCAAATCCTAAGAACTGGAGGTCAGATGGTGAGAGTTGGGTGCAGAATCCAGAGTGAGCAAAAAGCTAGTGAGTTTTGCCAGAATGTCCATATATTCCTATGCTTAAGGATGAAACTCACTTTCAAATGACTGGCTACTCATAGCAGATTTCATGATAGAGGTGATAAGCACATCATAACTGCCAAATGAGAATTACTCCCAAATTGACACAGAAATTTAAGTATTACAATCCACCCCTTGTCAATTTGGCACCTGTATACATCTCCTTAAACCATCATGATCTCAAAAACATTTATAAAATCTTATTTATGACTAACATAATATAACTAACATATAAAACTGAAAATGCACTTGTTAAGGGCCATAGAGTTGATTCCAACTCACAGCAACCCTGTATAGGGTTTCTGAGGAGTGACTGGTAAGTGCTGACTTTGTGATTCAAACTGAATTTGCAATCCAGTGCTTATCATACATGACCATACCAGGACTCCTGAAAATGCACTAGCTCCATTTGTACCTTATATATATTTTTAAATGTTTTATTGTGAATTATATGGTAGTTTACATGAGAGAACTTTAGTTTTACATTCATTCCATCGTATATCATCTCATCGCCATGGTACCAAACCCCTCCATGCATCATTAACCAGCCAAAAGGTATATCCCAGAAACCCGCCCCCTACACTTCCCCCTCCCCCCAGTTTTTGGTCCACAGTCCCTTTCCCTCTCTGGATCCAAAGTATACCTTATATTTTTAACTGAAAAGAAAGAAAAACCATTTGATGCATACATAAAAGGCAACACTCATAAAAGTTTCTGTCTTTATTTCTGCAGTTTGTCATGAGCTTGTAGCTGGTACTTAGAACTACATTCTTCCAATACGCACTTCATATTCCCTTAGCCTTTAGCAAGCACCTCAGCTGGTCATGGCTCTTTGCCTGTTGGGGTGATCCAAACCTTTATTACAGAATTATCTTGGCCATTAGTTTTCATGTTTGAATTGGATTATTGTTGTTTACCATTTACTTTGGGCACAGAGCATGGTTATACTAAGGAATCTCCTACATTACAGGTGTACTCTTTACCCTTCATTATGTAATGTCAATATTTTATTTCTCCTTGGTAATCAGAATCAATCACAAGTGCTAATACAGTAACACCTTATTTTGTCTGATCATTCAGAAAAATGAGGAGCCCCAAGTGACCAGGTGACATTCTTAATTTACAGTTCAATGTGTCTAGTACTGTGTATTCAGGTGGAAGTATTCCTCCCTTTACAACTAAAGCATCCAGATTAACAGAACATAGAGTCACAAGATCAGGAAGTGAAATTTTTGAAAGTGGGTCATTAGGGGTAATAATGAGTGGTGCCATTTCCATTTCAACCCCTTGATTCCTGGCTACGGGATAAACAGTACCATATATTGGATAATGATTTAGAGTATATACAATCTCCTAGAGAACACTGCTCTAGCACTGCAAGGTATTGCCAACTAGCTGGTGCCATAATTATGTATTTTAATAGGTCGTTACATCATTCTACCAAGGCAGCTGCTTCAGGATGATGGAGAACAAAGAACTGTAAAGGTAGATGTTTTGTAACAAAAGGAGGGGAGTGGTTGATTTTTCAGTCCTGGAGCAGATGTCCCTGGGACCATCAAGGGAGAGGAGTAGAGTGTGGGACCCTACCCAGAGAAGAAATGATGCTAGAGATGGAGACAGAGACAATGACGTGGAGAGATGGAGTAGTTGAGGACTCTGGGCTCAGGGAGGGAGAGGGGTTTTGTGCTGGTGGCCAGGGTCTTGTGGGTTGTACCCTTTGGTTGTTTGATGATGCATTGAGAGGATTCTAATCATTGAAAGGAAATAAAATACAATAGGATGAATGTGAAGCTAATGTTCTCCCATATAAACTATCACATAATTCACAATAAAAACTTTTTTAAAAGGTGATCTTGGAAGAAGATTTTAACATTCAAGTGAATAGAATAACACACTCTGTTGAAACCAAGTCATCCTCTTTCTCCAACCACCCCTGCCATTGCAAAATGGGCTCATGAACAAAAATGGCCATAGTGGGAAACATGGAGGTTATGCATGGACTCAACAATATGAACTTACACTCACCAAAGCCAACTTGGCTACAGCCACTGAGTGTCCAATCTTCCAACAGCACAGACCAACAATGAGTCCACATTATGGAGCCATTCCTCAGAGTGGTCAGACAGAAACTGAGTAGCAGGTTGATTACATTGGACTACTACCATCATGGAAAGGGAAGCATTTTGTTCTTTCTGGAATACACTTACTATGCATA